AGCGAGATCCTTGCACGACCCATCCGCAATGTTCGCCACATGGCTTTGCAGCCTTTGCCATTACCATGTGGCAGCCAAGATCACAAGAGCGACAACGACAGACGAGGGAGGAGACAACGAGCGGGGCAACGACGACGCGCACGGCCACCACGGGCACAGCAAGGACGGCGAGCGGGAGGTCGTTGCCCGTTTTTGTACAGCTGTAAAATTTTAATTCAACACGCGTTATACAGGATGGCAGGCGTTTAACCTGTTTACACGGCTTCAGAGGAAGTGCGGAGAGTGACGGTTGGCTGGACGAGGGTTAAAAACTCTTGCTTGTCGAGGTTGCGGAGGGTTGTGGGGCCGTTGGGCGAGCTGCCTTTGCTACAAGGGTCAGGAGGGGTTCGATACGGGCGGGTCTCAGAGGCGGCAGCACAAGTCGCTCGACGACGAGGGGCAGCAGACATTCAGGTGGTGGTGCGTCGTGTACGAGTACCTGACTGATGGGTAGAAAGCCGATAACAAGGGAGTTGTCATGCTGCCCTGCAACCTTTGCGACAAAGTCTTCCAGGGTACTATGTATCAGGTCGTGCGCCATTTCACTCAGCTTAACTACTGTACGAAAGCGATTGTTGAGGCGTTGTACAGGAACGCGCACCATGCAACTTATGCGTCCGAGTTCGACCAGATGACAAAGGTGGCAGCGTACGCTTCAAAGGATGGTGTGGATCATCGGTGGATGTGCCCCTAGAGGATGGATGGGTGTCGGTCCCTGCTGAGGTGCAACCGTCGCGTGCCAGGAGGGGTGATGCGAACGAGGACGTCGTCAATTGTAAGGGCGGCGCAGCGAAGAGAGGCCCCAACCAAGGGATGAGTATGACCCCATGACAGGTCGACACAAGGTGGATTGGGATCCGGATGCAGGCATTGCAGGGCAGCGCGGGAAGGGGCCTTTGGCCGCGGCTGGTGTTGGTGAGAAGAGAAAGGACGGAGATGGGGTTGGCAGGAGGTCACAACCAAAGAAGAGGATACGACAACAGAGGGTTGATGAGGTGTACGGTGGCGGGTTGCCTCAACAGTTCACGAAGGACTTCCTTCTTTGGGTGTACTCGAGTGGCGTTTTGTTCAATGCGTACTACAATGACGCATGGCAAACGGTGCAGCAGACCCTACTCGCACAACCAGGTCCATCTCCGCCAGTAGCCGCAACGAGATAGCGACCATGAGCGTTGTGGAAGCTCGTCACGTTGAATTGGGTGATTAGTTGACGGAGGTTCGTCAGCCGTTCTGGGTCACGGGTGCTACCATCCTCTCTAATGGGAGGAAATCACGAGATCGGAGACCTATCGTGAATTTCCTTGTGGCAGGGTCTCATGGGGTGGTTGTTTATCGAACAATCAATCGAGAGGGGAAGCCGAACGATGCGGTCCATGTTCTCCGGAGGTGGATCCCAATCGTCCATAAGTGAAAACAATTTGCACCAACTCCATGACGGCGTATGTGGTGGTTGCGAGGGCCTTGAGCTCGCACAGGTTGCCCCCCCAAGTTGTGGAGGATCACTTGGCTCCCGTGCTCCGTCCATGTATGCACCAAATTATTGCCAAATATTGGGACGATCTGACTGTGTCACGAGAGCGAGGGCCTTATTTATTTATTTTTTAACCCACCAGGCCGCTCTATCTTTCTACCGCACCCGGTGCCCCGACTTGGGTCTCGTTCTTTCTTGGGAGATGTGATTCGCTTCTTTGTAAGCCATCCTGAAGCGGTTAGCGGTTGTGCAGGATGCGCTGCAGGACATGATGGGAGA